TAATAGATTATTATAATCCAGCAATAGATTATTATAATCCAGTAATAGATTAAGGCACGGCAAAAATTGGAAGGATTAGATTATTATTAATAATAATCATCCGGATTAATATTAATCTCTATTATAATCCAGATCAGAGCTATGACAGACAAACTGCAGACATTACACGCTGAACAAGGGACTGACCGCACATAACACTGATCACATCAGTCACACGATCACTTGCATATGTTAGAGCTGGTAGCGATGTTGAGCCTAGAAGTAAATGAAAAGGAACAAGCGCCTCTGGGCCAGCGAATCCGTGCGGTGGGCATGTGTTTTTACAAAAACTTCAGTTGCAACTGTATTACCAGCAGAGCTGAGACAACTGCCGACTTCTGCTACTAAAATATAATAACGTATAATAAGGAGTGCGGTTATTGACTGAATGTAATTAAGAGTTTTGTTCACAAACTACTAGCACAAGTAACAAATTCGTCGTGGTTAGAATAGAATATTTCTTTATTGAGAGACTTGTACAAATTTGAGCTATGTGGGATTATATTAATCAGATTAATATTAATCCTAATCGTTTAAGGTACGGCTCAAAGCTCAGTTATGGATTATAATAATCTATTACTGAATCTTATATTAGGATTAATATTAATCTGATTAATATTAATCCTACATAAGATTAATAGTAATCCTACTTGATCAAGGCACGGCTCAAACCTCAGTAATGGATTATAATAATCTATTACTGGATTATAATAATCATTAGAATTAATATTAATCCGATTAATATTAATCCGAGTTGTCCTGAAACTAGTTCCGGCGTGCGAAAATAGAAATCTGCGTTGGCGTTTTGACTTGCGCAAGTTTCAAGACGCTATTTTGACGAGATTCCACTCGCTCTGAAATTTTTTTAATGAATATCACATTGCAGTATGTAAAACTAACCCTGGACAGATGAGATTTCAAAACCAAACAGTGACTACTACATGTATCAAGAAAGGATAGAGTTTTATCCTCTCTTGCTGCTATGCACTAGAAGTGAAGTTAATTTATGTGTTTCTTAGTCTTAGCTGAGTTGGGGATTAATAGTGGAATCTTTATTAGGGGTTGATCTAAAGTGCTACCATTTTACTTCGAAATTTGTGTACTTTCAGTACTGTAAACAGCTAACTGACTGTCAATAAATATACAGTATCAGTGAACCTAAGCAGTTTCGGTTTATGGTCTGACTTTTTTGCGAGTTTTTACAATTGTCGTGTTTGTAGCTTAAGTGTGACTCGTTAGGTCGCGTGCATTTGTCCTCGTCTGATTTCCTGATAACTTGTCTGGGGAAACTAATTCTAAGTCTGTTTAGATCAGCCCGATTTTGATCTTATATGTTTTGATGAGCGATTGCATTTCAGTGATTTGGTAGCTATTTGAGATCCGTCATAAGATAATTTTGGACGAGGTCTTCAATTACATCATCGATTTCGAGCCTAAAGGTCAAATAAATCATATGAGGCTGAGCAAATGGAAATACATGCCGACCAAAGAGAGTGTGTACCTTTAACCATTCTTTGAATAGTTCCTAGTTTAAAAACAAGCTAAAACATGCTTACCTCCATCGATGTTAAGTTCATCTTCGTTAGTGCAGGAATGTTTATCGTCAAATTTAGGAGATAAAGGGTTGTTCAGTTCTGCAAATATTGTCCAAACAGCAGATGTCGTCCGTCGAGCTGTCTTCTTGCTGTTCTTGCCATGTTTTTAGCTAATAGTTCGCCTATTTCTTTCCGGTGAATCGAGTGAAATGTTTCACTATTTACTAAAGCAACTAGTCCCCAGGTCTTCTCGGTTAACTGTTTTTTTCGCTGAACGGTCGATATCATTTTTCACATATTGCAAAATTCTTCCAAATTTGGTCGATAATAGCTGGTTATGATGAATTATGCGTGGGATTTTAGCCAATCACAAACGTACAAATATTTTGAATTTTGAATGAATAATAAAAAGAATTATCATATACAATAGACGCAATATTCCCTTGAAGCTTTTTCCGGTTTTTTTCCCCAGAACTCTCCTTTTGCATAATTTGATCTTTAGACAATACCCAGAGTGTCCCACCATCGTTGAAGAAAAAAATGAGAAGCAGATAGCATATTATATATTCTAGGCCCGAGAACTTGCTGATTAAGACTAAGCAATTAGACTTAAAATAATAATATTATTATGACGAGGAAAAGCTAGTAGTTTTTTTATCTCTGAATAATGCACTTGTAAGTGTTACTGTGGCCTAATATAGGTTGGGGTTTTCCCGTTTGATTTAAAGCTATTTATGAGACATCTTATTTTATTTCCACCCATACAACATTTAGATTGAAAACAGAGTAAAAAGTGCTAAAGGGTAAATTTAAAATACATTGTTCCATTTTCTGCTGACATTATGAAAATGCTTTTTTATTTATCACGTATATCTTTCTCTACTGATAGCGTAACTGTCAGGAAAAGCTATGAAAAATGTTCTACTTTCCAACTATATAGATTGTTTCAAAATCAGTAGTCATTCATTTTCTGACAGAAATTGAATACCTTATGCAACATTTTCGCTCGTGTAGTCGAATACAGTCAACGCAGCTGATTATTAATTTCAAATAAAACATAAACTCGCTATCAAGAACTAGCTAACTGAAAAAAAAAATAGAATGCATACAAGAGAAAGATTTAGGTTATCATGACTTTTCACCAGAGAGAAAATCTTAAGACTTCTCCAAGCAGTTCAGATACTCAATTATCTCATTGTCTCCCTCAAAAACTATAAAACTGCTGAGAGTGACAACGCGCGGCTCTCGAGGCCAAACGTTGTCAGTCGTTTTACAACGGTTAACTGTTCAAAGCTCAGTAGTCAAGCCATGGATCTTTGAAAAACGCAAGGCTTAAATGGGCCGAAATGCTCTTTTTATTTTTGCTTCCATTTTAATTATTCTGTTAAGTCTAATAAGAATCACCCCAAAGAATATTTGGTTTGTTTGTTTATCTTAAACCGAAGTAGGTTCTAACGCCTATTGAGACATACCTCGAGGAATAGTTTTGCAGATTATAACTTCCTGTTTATTTTTTGTTATGACGATATAATGATCCTTGTCATACCAGATCACATAAGAAACCTATCCCTCAGCGTTTCTTCTATTACCATAGCTTTTCGCATCTCGTACAAACTAATTCCGTTGTGGACAATTGCCTTTTCAATCTCTTCACAGATACTTCCTCTTCTTGTGCTAACAGCGAGTGATATACCCATCAACTCATTTTCGGATATAGTTTGGAAATTTGCGTTGCGATCAACGAGCGATTTTCCAGCAATACACATCTTGTCGTCCATGGACTTTTCTTTCTTCAAGACTCTGTTTTTCCTGTCTTTTTTCTCTTGGTCAATACTTAACCACATATTTCTCGAGAGTTTCTTTCCTCCGCGAAAAAATCCTTTGCTTTTCGGTGGTAGAGAATACGATACACCATCTTTGATCTCCATTACTTTTGCCCGGTTGTCCATGGAAATATCCAGCGTCGATTTGTCCCCTACTTCTTCTTTTAAGCAAGTGCAGTCTGCAGGAAAATTTTGAGGCGTAGCCGCCAGCACCTCTTCTTTTTCTATTTTTTGCAGCGTGGTACAGGTTGCTTCCATGGTGTGATATACATAGGCCACAGATCTAAAATTCGTGTAATATGCAGTTTAGCGGGTGTCGTTTTCTGGTAGACCCAAGATATGTGAATGACGACTGTCACTTATGCCTCTTATTTTTCAAAAGCATATGTCGTTTCAGAGCTCTCTGACGCTAATTTCTCAGATAATTGGGAAATAAATATTGACAGGGCGAATTTATTTATAAATGCAGTATTTCGTGGAGTAATTTTTTATGAAAATGGCTTGAGACAACAGAATCTTTTTCTTTTCTTGCTGTCAATTTATATTTGATTCTGAGTATGAGGTGTTGCCTTGCGGACAATTTGCCGTAAATGAAATGAGTAAACTTAATAAACATATCGTACAACGTACGGCTTTGATATCATGTTTTGCATCTAATCAAGTGAAAACTATATTACGTTAAAACGTGTTCAGAACCACGAATGAACGACCTGTCATGTAGTGGTTTTTCTATTAGAAAGCCTTAGATTTCTTACTGATGTGTCTGTACGACACATGCCACACAACATAAAAGGGAACGTGACCCCACTTTATGTGCTTTTCCTTACCGGGGGAACATTTCACTTTGATGCCGTGACTTTGCCTTTGTATTTGGCAAAATGTGAATCAGCAGAGGATAGAGTGGCTACCTGATTCTAGCAAACGATAAGCAAAAACAAAAGAAAAACAGCAACAACAAAAAAAGAACAGAAATTAGTGAAATTAAATCAAGATCAACATATGAAAAAGCGTCTACTCAATTAATTTCGGCTTAGTCAGGCAAGCGAGTCGTCACTCCGAGAACTCTTCATTCTCGAAAAAATAGTAATGATAAAAAATATATAGAAAGACGCATGCGCACGAAGCTTGGTATAGAACTGTTAATTGCTAGTTCGTAGAAGTAGTCAGCGCTACTTGCTCACCCCGCCGGGGAATAGGGGTAGGCAAGAAGAAAGCTGCGTGTCAGTTTCGGGCGGAGCTTCATTAAAGGCCATTACAGGGCGTCCCCCCCACCCGCCGCCTGAGACGGCACGTTTCCTTTAACATAATAATAATAATAATTAATAATAATTTAATTCTTATATTGCGCGCTTTCCATGGAATGATCAAGCGCGCATTACATGATTTCTATCTATAATAACTTAATAAAGGGTATCTAACTACTAATTATCTAAAATATACTATGATAAAATTAAAATATACAACATATGTTAAAATACTAGTAATTATCGTGATAAAAATTAAAAATTAATAAATTAATAAAAAGCTTCCCTAAAGAGGTGCGTTTTCAGAAGGCGCTCAAAAATCCCTAGATCTGTAATAGAACGAATTTCACGCGGTAATACATTCCAATTAGTCCATGGGCCAGGACCCCAAATTTGATGATTTGGTACCAAAAAGAGGGACAAAGAGTGGCTTATATTTTTAAAAACTATGAATCCTCTAGTTTATTTTAATGTATGATAACCACGTCAAATGAGTAGTTTTATAGGGTTTATCACGTGATGAAGTGACGTCACTCAGCTTTCAACAATGTCGAATAAACGTACAAACATAAGTTTTTACTCAAGTTTTTACTCATGTTTTGGGGCACGTCTAGATGATTAAATGGTACCACTGTTTTGCAGTGATTTTCGTGGCTTTTGTAGCAAAATTAGATGGATTTTGGTGTTGGTTGCCATGGTAACGTAGAAAGGTAGCCTTTTGAACCTGAGGGTCGATATAAACTAAAGTAATAAAGATAAATTGTTTGAAAAATCTGTTAAATGATAGTTCTAGATGACAACTGGATACTAGCTTAACTCAGGTGTTATAGCTACCTACGGCGCTGCTATAATATGAAATTACCTTTTTGGCGGCCATATTGGATCCGCCATCTTTGATTTCCAAACATGCCAATTTTGTCCCCTAAAGTGCCCAAGAAAGGAACATGCAAAATCCTCATATTCAAGCTGTGAAAGAAGCTGCTCTTAAAGCTGTAAACTAAAACACTATAGATGCAAACTCTTCCGCTTTGCTAGAGATTTCTCCATATCTCTAGCAAAAGTACCGGTACTAATTGTGGTTTTTCTGTGAAGTCATGCTTTTTGGACATCCGAGGTTGACATGCAAAACGTTATAATTCCTCTTACAATGACCATTTGTTTTATATGTATTTTGGGTGTACATTTGGCAAGTCATATGTTTAAATGTAGCAACGACTAGCAATGACTATATTCTTCTGTGGTCAATAAATCCACACACATTTTATTTATCATGTCGACAGCCAAAGGAAATAATGCTGAAAAACAGAATCAGACCACATATTCTAGTCCTCGTCAGCATCGACTTCTACTGTGACAGCTTGTTTTTCTCGCCTGTTGTCACAATTGGAGAGAGGGCACTTGTCTGTACACTTCGCTAGGCAGCTATAGTTCGGGAGCCTATACAAGATTTGGTGCAAGAACAAGAAAGTAGCTGTAAAACTGTTGCGGGAGCTGGCTGACCACTCATCCAATCAATGCCTAACTTGTTCTCATCCTGAATCAAGCCATGTCTTAAGGGACTCGGAATTTCAGGGCAGAGTCAATTCTGCGCCTCCACATTCCTGTTTGCTAGTTTGCTCGACACGCATGTTTATACAGGCAATCAGCGCAAGGCGGTAGTTGGTCGGACTCGATGTTATATCTCTTTGAACAGATAACTCTATATCTTAGCTCATTGATGCTTTTTGTCCCTGGGCGGGAACTGTACATACGACAGGTGAAATTCTAAAGCATCTGGAATAGATTATATGAGAATTCCCATTCCACTCCTAAGAGGTCAAACATTTCCTGAAAGGATCTCTGTTCCTTACCCCGTCCAGCAAAAGCACTTACTGTGTCGCAACCAGTATAAGCGTGCATGCCAAGGAGACTGCTACACAAATTTTGACCTATGGCTTGCACTATACTCGTGATGCTGATGTATGTAACTCTTGCTTGTGTTCCACACTTGAAAACTATTGAAGACGGAATTAAGTACTTGAATGACACTCAAAGAATAAAGACATCTGTATCTTCTAATACCACAATCAATGTGCTGTAATCCGATCTGGCTGGGTGAGAGAAATGAAAGAAGGCGCACTAAAACCCACAAGCTTTTTCTTTCGGGTATTTTCTAACGCTTCCTGGCAATTTACTTCAACATATGTTCTTGGCTTAGGGCCTTGACGCTCACCTGCATATTCAAGCTGGGAATAAGAAATACCATGAACATAACGGTTTAGTATAGACACTAGCTCTACATTGTTTGTGAGATTTTTACAGCATACCACAGAAGAATTTGTTTAGGTGGCTTAATCCTCCCTCTGGTTACTCCAAATACCAGGTCTTGCGCGAACGACTTCGTCAACCGCTGGACTCTTTGAGAACATTATCTCTAACGAATACTTGCTGCCAGTCAGCAAGGTATGCAAAAACGCACTGTCATTGAGCTCTGAAGGGCGCGGTGGCCATGACATTTTGCTTTCTTTATTTAGAATAGCATCACGGATGTCAGCCGCAGCTTTCTGAATATTGGAGATCTTCATTGTTGAACCTTTGGTTTCTTCTTCTGCCATAAGGATATTTAGTACATTTCTGGCGATTTGCACTGGCGTTAGGTTAGCAGGGATTAGGAATACACGGTTGCTGTTTAGCAAGTTTTCAAACTTGATCAATTCATTGAATTCTGCTTCTATGTTCCTTTTGATATGCTTCTTTGTTGATGGCTTACATTCCTTAGCCCCTAATGACATTAGATACTCTACAAGTAACTGGGTCATCTCAAGCAGCCTTACGTTTTTGTAATTTTCAATCACATCTGATCTTATAAAGTCAAAAAGCATCTAGTAAGCATCAGACTCTAGACGGGCATATTCATCATCCGAAGATTCACTGCTCATATCAGGGTTCACACTGCTGCTTGCTTCTGGTCTAGTGTAGCTCCTGTAGCACGTCCTGTGATAACAAGCCTCTGCTGCAACTAATTCGCGCGACACAAGGGCAAGAATTTTGCTCGTGTCATTCTTTTGTGTAGCAATCTTTCTGATAGAGCTATCTGTACACATATCTTGGCATTGTACGAAAGGCTCACGATTCCTTATACCCTTGAAATATTTTGGCTTTTCACAAAAAATACAAATGCGCTCGTATGTTGTGAAAATATTGGAAGATCCTCGAATAGAGACTCTCCTAGCCAAGTGGTGCCTGGTGAGTCTGGCTATTGGATGATTGCTGGGATAATTTATCTAATACATTTTTCATTGTAAAAATGCTTCGACACTTTCGATGGTTATAAATGAGCGTAACTCGAAACTTCGTCTCTTAAGGACTTCGAAAGTTGTACGATTTCTTGGTGATTTCGAATCTGTGCTGTACGTAGCAAGGTTTTTCACGACTCCTCGTCTTTAGGATTAACTTATTCTCTGCTATCGTCTGTACAGTGAATGATCCACTTCTTCTTGCAGAAACGTTTGACTGCATTTGACTCCTCAGCATCATCAACATTCCTTCTTAGATGAGGACCCTTTTTGTATCAGATTTTTCAGCGTTTAAGTCGCAATGCAAATGCAATAAACAGGGACATAACAGCACATACGGTATGTTATAATTTACGAAAGTCTGGACTTCCAAAAGTTTTTTTTTATAGCGGTGCCATGATTTGGAATGAGTTACCACAAAAAACATACGAAGAATAACATCGCCATGTCAATTCAAAAGGGAAGTAAACCAGTAAGCTTTCTAGTTTTCTGTTTCCCAGCACAGGGCAATCATGTAGGCCATTCAGGTGTACGTAGTCTTTATATCCTTTTTACTTCACTTAACCTTCTCAGACTGATGATTTTATCGTGTTTAAATAAACCATATGTATCTATGTATTAAAAATTGGCATATCATATAGAGTTTTCATTACCGAACAACCGATAATTCAAATAATGTTGACTGCAACAGGTTGATCATTCCTAAAATTAGATTATATTTCAAAATTTATAAATATATAAACAGATGTTTATGATTGATATGAGCAAAATACATATCGGATTATCGAAGTGAACATTCTACAAGAACTGTAAGTATTTCCAAAATTCTGTTTATTAAGTCAAAAGTTCAAAGACTTTTGCCTCAAAAAGTTTTAGCGCTTTATTGACTAGATGATTTGGCTGACTTTTCTTGAAATTATTGCGTTTTACATGGTAAAATGGCTATTAAACCGGCAAGTCAAGAACCCACTACCCTTGCCATGGTAGCCGCCATTTTGGATTTTACCCATAATGCAATTCGGACGCTACTTTTGAGTTTTCTTCGCTCTACTTTGGTTAAATTCAGAGCAAATAATATTTTGGCGATAAAAAAACGCAACAAAAAACTTCTCATGTCTCTCATAACAAATTAAACTACAAAAGATATAGTACATTTTAAGTGCACGTTTAGTATCCTCAAAGGTCATTTCGGGCACTTTTACATGAAAAAAATATCTTGAAAGCTACTCCTACAGAAAGGTTATCATACAAATTTTCAATC